AAGGTTTTGTGCTTTTCCAACATTTTCACGAGGTATTTGACCGTGAAAGTTTTCCCTGTACCGGCTCTGCCACTTAGAAAAACATTGTGTCCAGACATAGCCAGGTCTACGGCTTTCCTTTGCTCAAAGTTTGGAGTAATTTCGCTCATGTTTTGTTTTGTTTTGTAAACTATACACAAAGGACGTCAAGAAATGTGATGTAAAAGCTACATACTTCGGGAATTACGAAAATACTCCGTGAAAGTCTCGATGGTTCACGATAATTCTCGACAATCTCACGAGTTGGAAGTCCGCTCGGTTTCCGATGATGACGCAATAGTTTCAGATCTTATGCCCAGCTGCCTGGTGCACACATCGGTCCACGACGAGTAAAATGCTTAACGTTCATTTTCTCCTCATGTAATAAAAATTTCAGACTAAAAATCATGAGATAGTTAGGAAATTTGGCGATGTATTGTTATTTGAAAGAAAATTGTCGTTTTTTCAGTTTTTCAGCGAAATAGGAGCAAAATTATATTTGTCACGTGACCAGTGTTTCATACCTTGTCACAGACTAGTTTGTATCCCGCGAGGCGCGCGATCGTGACGTAATATACCACAGGTAACCCACMGYVMRCGCCGATTCKATAACATAVWATAAAAGCRTGCGCATTCATTCTTTTCTTTCTCTCAAGCAATAGTTGGGTAGCCTATGGTCATTCATGGAAATGTAGATGAGAATCATGGCAAACATAACATTGAAATTGACCAAAACAATGATGGCAATGTTGGTGATAACCATGGCAGAGCTTAGTCTAACAACAATGATGAGCTCAAATGTTATCTTAAATTTATTCTAAATTGCACAGTATGGCATGAATCTAAGCATGTAGAACATGGGTAAGCCAGAATGATTGCATCTCATAGAAATCAATGTTTTTGTAATATAAATAATGATAGCTTATGTTAGTACAATCACTAAAACTGTAATACCTTCATGTTGTAAATGATCGTCGGGAAACTCTACCAGCAGTACTTCATGCCAGGTTGGGCTTTGGGTGGGTTGTAATGATGCACGTGTAGCAGTCTGTAGACCCTGGTCCTGATGGCATTTACTGTGATAGAAAGAAGATATTATTCACGCTAGTTTACAATTAAAGCAAAGTCAAAGCTACCAACCCCTGGACTTTACAAATCTGGAGCTTTGTGCATAATTAGCATAAATAATGGTTTATCATTGGTCTTCAAATGCCAAACATAATTGGCATAACTATTTCACCTGAGAAATKGGATATGTTGTTTTGGTAATTCTTTGAAACATATGTATAAAAGTCTAGTMCATTAATATTTACATGAATGTAACATTTGTAAACTTCAAACAAGACTATCTTTCAGCTCTTTAGCCATAAAAGAATGAGACCAACAATCTGTGCTACTCCTGGATAATCTAACAGGTGGCAGGATTGTCAATGTCATATGACTGTGCAGTGATTGTTAGAGGGAATGTGGACACAGTCCTGAAATGTATGCCAGGGCTAGCTAGCAAGATTGTGCACGGAATTATGATTGTTTATCTGCCAAGATAAACCTACCAAGTGACAAATGGCTGTGGAAGGCTGCCATCTGATTGCACAGGAAGACCAATAGCAGCATGCACAAGGACAGCAGCCTCCAAATAACCTTTACGAGCAACATAACTACCACACAGATGATGGGGTTGAGCTGGACAGCTTAGTGATCCCAGCTCTGAAACCTGATACAAATKTGTTTTGATCAWTRGAGAATACTAGCGATTTTTAAAGCAAAGTTTGAGTGTAAATTGCATCATGTCACTGATCATAATTATTTCTAAAGAATGACATATTAGCAATGGCATATGATACATTATTATGACACAAAAAGGTATCATTGCTCTGACCTTAAAATGTTGCATTTAGGTGAATAATCCTCATTTAATACCAACCTTTTCAGGAGGAGGTTTTGCCATAATATCTTGTTCAGGGGATGATACACTAGGACCAGGTCCATCTTCATGTAATAAAAATGTATATATTATGTATTGAATATAAACTAAGTGAGTTGATAGCTGAAGCCTGAACACCTATCTATTAYTTCAAATTCAAACTAGCAAGCAGAAAACAGCTAGGCTATTCACAAGCATGACTGAAATCAGAACAAAGAGTTGCCTCATTGTCCGCTGTCTTGTATTCAGAATGGTCTACCAATCATAATGACCACTGATGATTTTAGATCTTTTAATTGGTGGAACAATTAAGCCATACATGCACACTATTGTGTATATAAACATTAAATATAAAGTCAGAAAAAAATGAGAATTAAAAAAATGGATATCATAAAAAAWCACATAATATAGACATTTCAACCAATTTTTAATATGTTCACACAAAAGAACAAGTGAGTTTAACTTGAAAATTTTCCAAACTTACATGGCTGAATGTTGGATGGTGCTTTTTTAGCTGGCGGTGGTTTGTCCTTTTGTTCTTGGCGAATTTCAACATCTAACCACAGGGAACCCACACTTACAGACATGCCCTCAAACTCACTTTCTGCTGTGAAAGTCAACAGTTTTTCTATTTTATAAAGAACATTTTCATCCTCTGTGTTTGTGCCATGATGAGTTGATGGAAACAGAGAGTCTGTATTTGGATRAACCAATAGCACAGATTCACCATATTTTGAGTCCTCTTCTTGTGCATCTTGGGAAAATTTGTGAGCCTCCACAATTAAATAAACATCTTGTTCTATGAACCCTGGTCAGGAAKAATGGTTTATTAATAAGAYATTATTTTATTGGTAAACTAACTGTGTGATCATGCAGTAGACTACAATCATATTCATCATGCCTTACAAACAGAAAATATCTACCTGGAGGCAAATGGAATGMTAGCACAGACCCATCAAGGTTGACTGGTGCTGTGACATCACTCTGTTTGTATGGCTGAGACGTGAAGTAYGATTGACCATGAGGAGACTTGGAGTTGTTAATAAACAGTTTGACATCATTTTGTCTTTCTATGGATCCTTGAATCCATATTGTCATATAAAACTGTCCAACATTGTTGAAGAGCACTTGATGGAGATCCAGTTCTAGGCATAGTGGATTGTCAGTGGACATAATTCCTGTCATTAAATAAAAAACAACATCACATTGAATGTGAATGTTGCCTACATCTGATAGATACTAATATTAGAAAACTATTGGTCAAAAAGGAAGGGATTGAAGTTCATGAAAATACAAAAGAATTAACCAAATATTAACAAACTTAAATGTTAATTAAGTTAAGTCAATCACAGAACGTTTTAATATAAGCTTAAATTAAAGAAAAAAAGTTTACAGGATTAATCACACGATACTTGGTTGATGCATACTTTTTGGAAGAATTAATAAGAGAAGAATGAGCTTTATGTTTCTGACTATTATTTTGAGACTATCGATATCTTATAATAAAATGTTTTCAAGCGTACAGTCCATCTGTGTCCATGGCTACGTGTTATACAGTATGATGTATTCAATACAGACCAAAAGTGGCTTAAATATTCGATTCACTTGCAACAACTATAAAAACACTTAGAAATACGTCTTACCAAGGACATTTAGGTTTCCACATGAAGTCAAGTCATGTTCAAATTCGATAAAACTGAGATTTGACAAGTAAACAGTACGTTTCCGCCATTTTTGTTTTTGTAAAACCGCTGACCCAAGGAGTAAATAAACGTTGTTATCACCCCC